AGTGATTTGCCTCTTGACATTCCTGGAGGTGATGGCGAGAAGACTCTAGGAGAAGCGGAGAAGACATTCATTCTATGGCGCAAGCGCTACATCATCATTCCAGGGATGTCGGCTCCACCTCCTCCTGAACTACCTCACCATAGGTACGTGCGGATGAAAACACTACATCATTAATTTGTATTGGCTTAAATAATTAACAATCTGCTCATAATAATATGTCATTCCTTTTTTTTTGTAGCAGATCCTCCCCCAACCTAAATCCAATTGTTCAATCGCCAGATCATCATAGTGCTCTGTACGATGACATTATGTTGGAAGACAGGCTGCATCTACACCATCTCCAAGGAGGTCTCCAACGCCATGCCCATCACCTCCAAGGAGGTCTCCAACACCACTGCCAACACCTCCAAGGAGGTCTCAACGCCTCCCCCCCCCGCCTACCAAGAAGCCTAGCAAGAGGCCAACCCCTCAAACGAAGAACCAGGTCCCTTTTGCAAAAGAAAGCCACCGTGAAACCAAGGGCTATTCCCAAAATAATATCTCAAGAGAAGGAAGAAGGAACCGATGCATATAAAAAGACATGTCTAGATTCTATGACAAACTTAAAATGAATCAAGAAGCAAGGAGAAACCCGGAGAAACCGTGCTTTCTTCAGTAGCTCCGGATATTCTAAGAAAAAGGTGACTTCTTACCAGCAACAACAATGGAATCTAGTAAGCCGTCCAAATCAACGTTATCGGACTATGACCGCACTCTCACCAAGTCAATTGAGGACGCACAGAAAAAGAAGCGGGCGGGGGAAAGGCATTGCCCAACTCGGACAACAAGCGCACCAATCAATCCCCGCTAGTTGTTGTAATGAATATGGTTCGAATTTAGGATTAATGCATCGAGCAAACATACCTCCGGATGTCGATTTGGATCACCTTGGTGAATTTCTTGATGAGACTGGTCTCGACCTTTACCAGATGTTTGGTGATGGAAATATTGAGAGTCTTGGCGGAGGTTGATATTTGGAAGAAAAAATTTGTACTAGGCGAGTCTATACAACCCTCAAGCCTTATCTGATCTAGGGACGCAAATGTACCTTTAAAACAAGTGGTACATGCGAGGCGTCTACCAATGAGAGACTTCTACGTTGGTGTCGAAATTAGAGAGCGAACATTGGTTCCGTGGCGATGATGTTATGTATGTTGACTTTGCGAAATTTCATCAACTATGCCACCGACCTCTCTGGACAAAGTTATCATTAGTTGCTATTGCTTTGTAAGTAATAATTCTTTCGATCTATTATTAAACTCATCATATGTGTGTATATGCATATAAATTATCCTAACAAGTACTATATATATGCAGATTTACAATGACGAGCTTTCGAGAAAGGAAGGCTGCAATGAAATTGGTTTTGTTGATCCCCATATAGTATTCAAGACCCAATTACTCCAAAGACTAATTGAAAGTCCGAGTCGAGAGAGTAACCTCATGAACTTCTTAGTGAACCAACGCCACAAGAAGGATATACTCTTTCCTATAACTTCAAGTGAGTGTTAATCATGTCGATCATATCCTTAATGGCTCATATATTGATTCTAGTTAATTAATGAGTGTTATGCGTTATATCCTATAAACACATGCAAAGAATCACTTTGGATATTGATGGACATCGATCTGGTGAAAAGTCACTTGATAATCTATGACTCGATGAGAAAACCACAACAAGACTACCAAGATATAGATATTATCCGGAGGTAATTTCGGATCTCTAGCAACTATATATACACACAAACATAATGATTAACTATATCGATGGCGTGGCAAATTTTTTATTGGGCGGTGTTTGGAAAACCTTTATTGAGAAGCAACACATGGAAAAATGCAAAGCGCCAACTTGAATGTAATCCCTTTGAAAGTAAGTCCCACAGAATCGCATCATCTTTATTAATTAAACATATAGCTTTCACCGGATCACCAGTTGGATGACAAATCTTTTTCTCGTAAAGTGGTGTCTAAAAGCGAGAACAGGGGAACAACTACTGTGGTTACTATGTTTGCAAGTTTATCAAGGTGCTCTCCCAAAGAACTCCCTCTGAGAGAGACTCAAAATCGTTAAAAATACACTATATATTCATTTAATTATTATTATTGATTGTGTTACTATGTCTTTATATATATATATATGTACATATATTAATTTATTTTCCTTTAATTCAAACACATAGACTCGATGGTTGGAGGAAAAGGTCATACTGGAAAGACCAAATCAAAGCAATTCAAGAGTCTATAGCGGATTTTTTAATGAGCGGGTCATCGATTCCAAGGGCGAGTTCTACTTCGACCCAACACTGCCATTGAAGCCAAGCTAGAGGATGAGAGGAAACTTGTTATGTCACAACAACTGTAATGCAATCTTTTGTAATATATGCACATGAAATAATATAATGTAAAATACACATATGCATGCATGCATGTAAATATATATATGATGCATGCATTCATATATATATATATATATATATATATTTCTATGCTTGAATTGTGTGATTTAATACGTTCATTGTGCTTGAACCGAAACATACTATATGCGCGTATAAATGTATAATTAGCAGCGTACAATACGACTTCGAAAACCTATTTTGAAAAGAAAACAAAAAAAATGAAAAGAAAAGAAAAAAGAAAAAAACCTTTAGTCCCGGTTCGTATTACCAACCGGGACTAAAGGTGCCGGCCATCGTGGCATGTCAGGAGGCACCTTTAGTCCCGGTTGGTGTTACCCATCGGGACTAAAGGACCCCCCTTTAGTCCCGGATGCTTGCTCCCGGGTGGGGAACCGGGACTAGAGGGGGTTCCCCACCGGGAGTAAAGCTCGGTTCTCTACCAATGACCCGTCTTTTATACTATGTCTTTCTTTGAAAAAATATAAATAACGATACCCTGAATACTTCCGTGTAAAATGTTACAACGGTAATTCCGTGCGCTTGTAGATCTTTTTTGTAAACGTTAAGAACTACCACCAAGGCATTTCTGGCGTCATTGCCTGAAAACACAAATCCAAGTATGGACACTAAGAAATGGCAACACCACCGTAGAGGCAAAATATCGAGCACGCATCAGCTTGTGAAGCGAGCTCACGAATTCGACGCCGCTCGACGAGGCGCGGCGCCATGTAGCGTCAGAAAAGCGGCGCTGCTGATGCGCACCAGCGCCTCCGACACCCGTCGGAGCGCCGCCGCCCTGGTAGCTCCCTGCCCGTGGTTGACATCGCACCGCCGCTAAATGCAGGTGCAAAGACGGCACGTCGAACGCAGACGTGACAAAAGACGCCGCCTGGCGGGGTCGTTAAGGTCGATCCCCGCCATGGCTGCTGCGAGCGGGCTGGCGGCGCCAGGCAAGGCGGGCGCGGAGCACGAGAAGGGGAGCGGCGCGCGGAGCGGGAGCCGAGGATGGCGTGGTCGCCGCCATATTCGCCACCTCGGACTGCAGCATCCGCGAGCGCCATCGCCGCCCACACCCTCCCAGCAACGGGGACGGCCACTGCCACCGTGAAGGGGAGCGCGGACGCCGCCGGGCGTGGATCTCGCCTCCTCCACTGCCATCGCCGGATCTACGTGGTGCCGCCGTTCGCCGGGGACTGGTGAGGAGGGATCGCGTCCCCTGGCCTCCGCGGCCCTGCCTCAGCCCTCGCCCTCGCAGTCGGCGCCACCACAGCATGGAGACTTGAGAGAAGGAAGAACAGAGAGACAGAGAGTGGCCAGGGCTGGCGTGGTCGGAATCCGAGAAATACATGTGACAGACTATACTACTTCAATCTTCCCAATACTACTCAAACATTATTTTTCTAGAATAAATTTACCATTCTACCCTTAATTACATTAAAAAATTTCAAAAATAGAATTATCCCACTTTTTTTAAGGTGACGATCCCACCAATTTTATTGCACACCTGGTGCGTATAGTCCTACCATTTAATACGCACTTGGTTCCTCTCCATTTGATTCCTCTTGATGCCTCCTTTTTAGCCGTTGGATCGCTCATCGTGAGCCGTCCATTTTCCCACATGACCAAAAATTCTCATCTTTCACAGCTTGAATGTTGAATGTGCTCGAGCTGCCGGCCGAGTTCGACGCCGTCGCCACGGGCCACCAGCGATGCCTTGATGTGGGCCTTCCTGTCCGTGTGGCGTGTGCTCGACGCAGCCGAGAGCCGACGCGGGCGCCATTGACTTTGGACGCCCGATGACATCGAGTGCACTGCCGTGGACAGTGCCAATGGGACTCCGGGGCCGGTCGCTGGGTAGTTTTGCTCGCTCCAATATGTCATCCGAAGTGTTACACTGTGGACTGGGTGAAGCTGGAGTCTGGAGAGCTGCAACTGGTTCCCACTCTAGTTTGTTTTCGTCGTTTAACAAGCATGATGGCTTTGCTGCTATGCTAACACAAAATGCATGGCGAACATGAAGAGTGGCAGGGTGCAGGTCAATATGCATTTCTTCTGGCTGGTAAGGGGAAATCCTCTAGATATATTTTTCAATAAGAATTTCAGCCCAAGAAGCCTCTCTTGACTTCTTGAGTGTACAAGAGAACAAGAACAGCACCTAGTGAACAGCAAGACATTATCAATACCAGTTCACAGACTTATATTGGCCCCGTTCGCTCGGAGGAATTTGGAGGAATCTGGATGAATCTAAAGGAATTTGTGAGAGAAAACATTGTTTCGGATAAAAAAAGAAGTGAATCAAGCCGGGTTTAAAGGCACGCAAACGGGGCCATTAACCATCGAGCACACGGTAGCAGAGAACAAGAACAGCAGCCACCAAACAGCACATTAGGCAAAAAAAACATATTGTTCCTAAAAAATCACACTGTTACTACTATCAAACTGGTACTGAAGATAAGCGGTCTGCACGGCCGGGAAGCTTGACGATGTGGTGGTACTTGGTGACGATGGCAACCATGGCCATGACGGTGAACCAGATGACGTTGACGAGGTCCACGGCGAGCGGCGTCACGACGAACGTGAGCAGCAGCACGAGGCCAGAGGAGGAGCAGGGCACAGGGAGCGCGCCCATCTGGGGAGCCTGTCGAGGCGCAGGTACTTGGTGGCGACGGCGAGCATGGCCATGACGGCGGCCCAGATGACGAGGTCCATGGCGAGCGAGGTGCGCGGCTGCGACGTGACGAACGTGAGCACGAGGCTGGAGTAGGCCACCAGGAACGCGTACTGCACGAAGCGCGAGCGCGCGGGCACCCCGGTGATGAGCCCCACCGTGAGCAGCATCGAGGTGCCGAACCCCGCCCAGCTCGCCGCCATGAACAGCCAGTACCGCCGCCGGTGCTTGTCCCGCATGATCGGGTCCCCGGCCACGTGCCCCGCGTCGTCGTCGGCCTGCCAGTACCCGCCCGGGATGTTGGTGCCCAGCTGGTACGTCAGCGCTGTGATCAGTGTCGCCACCACCAGCAGCGTGTCCGCTTCAGTCGCGCCGAAGTTCGGTGCGTGTGCGAGCAGGCCACCGCCGCCGCCATCGCCATTGCCAGCATTCGGCGGCGGCCCTTCCTCTTGCACTAGGGAGGGCTCACCCTCACCATTGCCGGCGCTGTTCATCTATCCTGCTCGCAGGTAGCTCGTCTTGCGTGCGTGACCAAAGCGCAAGCTCTCGACGGTGAGCATCTCTTGAACCTTTTGCGCATATTTATATAGGAGTATAGGCATAGGAGGAGACGCGTCCTGCATACTGTTCGTTTGGCTGTGGCTTGGTGTAAATGATCGTAAATTTTCTGTCGGAACAGTATTTTTCTCTTACACAAATCAGCCAACAGTATTTCTTCACGAACCAGCAACGAAACGAACTAGCCAACCGAACAAACTACTGGTTGCCTTGTTGATAATGATACCCATGAGGTAGTATTAAGGCCATGTTTAGTTCTATCAAATTCCCAACTTTGATACTATGCAAAAAAAAGATTTTCCGTCACATTAAACTTGTGGTACATGTATGGAGTACTAAATGTTGATGAAATCAAAAACTAATTGCACAGTTTGGTTATACTTTACGAGACGAACATTTTGAGCCTAATTAGTCAACGATTGGATAAGTATTACTAAATACAAACAAAACATCACTGTAGCTACAGTGTAGCTACAGTGATTTCGTCGCCGAATCAGCCGTACTAAACACAGCCTAAAGTGGTTTCCTTGAAGGACGCGGGAAGCACGACTGAACTTGCGAGGGCAATGGTCGATTGACCTGGTGCTGTGCTCCGTCTCGAGTCAATAGCTAGGCAAAGTCCTCGTCAATAATGTCGCCACTTCTGTTTGTTCACATATGTCTATCGCCTTCTTGCTCCTTGGTTTCCGTGGAGTGTACTACTTTGCCATCCAAAAGGAAGGCTGTAATAACAATTGAGAGCGTGTTTAGTTTTCTGAATTTGAAAATTTGGACTATTATAGCACGTTCGTTTTTATTTGGCAAATAGTGTTTAATCATAGACTAATTAGGCTCAAAACGTTCGTCTCGCAATTTCCAACCAAACTGCAGCCGTCTTGTTTTTCGCTCATACATTTAATTTTAGGTTGTATTGATAATTGATGTGAGGGTATAGATATACTTTTTGGATTTTGGATAGCAACTAAACACGCGCTGAAACCTAATACTAAAAGATTGAAAGGGAATGTTTAAGGTAGATGCTGTGCAAGTTCTTGTGCAGCGCCTCAACTTTACGCGTTTATATGTTATATATATAAAAAAAACTTTACGCGTTTATGTTATAAAAAAAAACTTTACGCGTTTATGGCAGCCGTCTGGTACCTATCATTCGGTTGTTTTAGGTTGTATTGATAAAATGGTTAGGCTATAGAATACGGAATAATTTCACAGAATAAAACTCGACCTAAATACTAATAAGAACCTGTTCTTCAAAAAGGGTAAGAAAAGTTCTGGAGTTTGTATAGCTCTGTATCATATGAACTAGTTCAACTTGAACTGCATTCCTTGACTACAATTATTTTCTAGGACACGTAGAGCTGTCTTCTCCCTATGAAAGAATATTTCAAAAAGACAATGACTTTAAAAGCACGATGCCAACATATACAACAATAACCGGCTAGTTTTTACCATGTCACACAGGCAATAATACATACAACTGATACAATGGATTGTTATCAAGGTATTTCTCAGATACTCTATACTATTGAAGGATTACTACATACTATATACTACTCAATCCGTTCCAAATTATAAGACGTTTTTGCTTTTCTAGATTCATGATTTTTGCTACGCACTGAGATATACACTATATCTATATGCATAATGAAATTAACGTATCTAAAAAAAGTCAAAACGTTATTATAATTTGGAACGGATGGAGTACGTGATAAAAAGATGACTTGGGTGTTGTTTATAAAACATTGTAATTATATTGTACGCTTGTCACTACGCGGTGGGCATTTCATGTTAGGGACATCAGACAACCCGTCAGAACAGAACACGGGACCTGTAGAGTTGAGCCATCCAACTCTCCATTTCCTTGGTCCCACTCACCGGCTTAACAATCTGGCCACCCTATACGACCTCAGCACCAAACAAACATATATATGAAAATTTATTTCATGAATATTAGTATTCTTTTATTTTGCCATAGCTATTAATTAGCGCTCTTTTATACAAATTTGGTCGGACTCAATATTTGTGACTTAAGACAACTCCAAAAATTAATTTATTTGATTTGAAGATGGAGGGGTACTTGCTACCTGTAACTCAATGCATTATTACAAGACAGCCATTCGTGTCTAGCCCATTAGGCCGTCTCAAAAGAGTGCTACCCTTTGCATGCAAATGCATCGTCATATATTTCACTTGTTCTGTTCTTCAGTATGCCCGTTGGCTGTCTTCTTCTAAACTTCAAGGACGAAGGTACGATGCCTATTTTTTTTAGCTTATCTTTTTAGCTAGAATAATATTTTTCTCTCACAACAAATTAGTTGGAACAGTATTTCTTTCGGCTTATTTTTTCGACGAATCGAACGGGCCTATGCCACACACGGCAGTGAGCCACAGTGACAGAGTCACTGGCAGGAGCTCATTTTCCAAGTTCCAACCTCGCACCCATCAGTAAAATATAGTGGACTGCATATATGAAAGAATGCATACATGATATTCATTTGATTGTTTTCTTAGAGCAGCTCCAATGTCGTTTGAAATCGAACGGTGGGCTTGTCCAACCAAACGATGAACACTAGAGTGTTCGAACTGTCGCGGCCAGATCAAAAATCAAACTCACGAGTCGGACCGAGAGCAATAAAATAACCAATCTTGTACGTGATGTGGGGCAGCGAATTTTCCTCCTAGCCGTGAGAGGATAGAGAGATATTTTTTTCTCTCACATGTGGACCCCACAAATCGATGTTTACGCTACGGCTATCAAACTCTGGTTCTGTTCGGCCTTTGTAGATTTCACAGTTCAATTTAGTATTGCAGGCGCCCTAGTTGTACTTTGTTTAATATATTTAATTTAGCTTTATAAAACCTTACACTCCAAAATTGAAATTGTACGTGTAACCAGTGGTATTAGAGACTAGCTTCATCCAAGCCTTGATTTAATATGGTGAACAAGACATTGAACATAAATATGCATTTTAGGAAGAGAAAAAAACTTGTTCAACAAAACTGAGAACAGAGAAAGCTACAGGTACCTTAAAAACAGTTGGTGTATACCAAGATCGAGCCTGGAAATGTAATCTGAGGCGGCCAAAATTCTTTTTTTGTTTTAAGAAAAACAGGAAGGGGAGACCTGTGCTGTGTGTATGTTATGAATCAGAAGAAAAATAAACAGTTTACAAGAAGCACTTATACTGCCATAATACCGTTTATTGAAAAATGAATAAATATAACAGCACTTATACAACCATATGCCGGTGCCGGTGAAGTAGAAAAGCTATTTATCATATCCTAGCTTTTAATTCAGATCTCTTTCGTTCTGACTGGGTAGTTGAATGATGGACTGCAATGACAATAAACAATTTCAAACCTCCTATCTCGTGGTACGTCTTCCTCTAGCCATTGCAGACGACACTTGTGACAGCTCAAAACAACTAGTAGTACATGGGAACACGTCGGAGTCGGAGATGACATGAGGGCTTAAGGTGCGGTGTGCACCGTTGGTCCGTTGCGCTTGCGCACGCCGTGAGACCTGATGACTGGTGATGAGCAGGGAGACTAACCACTGCATTAACTGCAGGTACAGGGAGGTTAATGGTACCAGTTTCAGATCCACATATCGGGGTATCGATGGGTCCATCCCCTCGTGGCCCTGCCCGATCTTCTTCCCGATCGTGCCGCGGCAGAGATGAAGGACCGTTTGGCATGCCTTGTTTTGCAGCTCCAGGAGCTGTTTTGCTGCTCCACCAACTAAACGGTCAACCAACAAAGTTCTCTTCTCAAGGAAACGTGGAAAACGCGCTCTCATAGTACCTTTCTTGTGCATGGAGCCAGAAATACTAGCTTCACCTGACTCCTGCTGATGCGTGCAGGCCCCTATGTAGATTGGATATGGGTGCCCTTCTTCTTTTACCAGTATCGTATCGTGGATTATTTACTGCTGGCTGGTTTGGTGTGAGAGAAAAACACTATTCCTGGCTGGAAATTTACGATCGTTTACGAGCAAGCGAACATGCTGCTAGTCATTACAGATGACACTTGTGACAGCTCAAAACAACTAGTAGTACATGGGAACACGTCGGAGTCGGAGATGACATGAGGGCTTAAGGTGCGGTGCGCACCGTTGGTCCGTTGCGCTTGCGCACGCCGTGAGACCTGATGACCGATGATGAGCAGGGAGACTAACCACTGCATTAACTGCAGGTACAGGGAGGTTAATGGTTCCAGTTTCAGATCTACATATTGGGGTATCGATGGGTCCATCCCCTCGTGGCCCTGTCCGATCTTCTCCCCGATCGTGCCGCGGCAGAGATGAAGGGGCCGTTTGACATACCTCCTAGGGCAGCTCCACGAGCTGTTTCGCTGCTCCACCAACCAAACGGTCAACCGACAAAGTTCTCTTCTCGAGGAAACGCGGAAAACGCGCTCTCATAGTACCCTTCTTACGCACGAAGTCGGAAATACTAGTTTCACCTGGCTCCTGATGACGCGCGCAGGCCCCTATGTACATTGGACGTGGGTTCCTTCTTCTTTACCAGTAGCCACATATGTTGGGGAGGGTGGGGCGGAGGCAGGCACCGGCGCGGGGAGGGAGGGCGGGCATCCTGGCACGGCTCGTCGGAGCTCCGGGCGCGCTAGCACTACGACGTGGAGGGCCCTAGTGTGCGACTGAGGAGGAGGAGGAGGAGGAAGGGCGGTGGGCGGCAGAGCGCGACCACACAGCCGTGCCGCGGAGGAGGGCGGGCCGCGCAGCTGGGGATAGAGGAAGGGCGGTGGCGGAGTGTGGGCCGTGCGTGGCCGTGCCGACGAGGAGGGCCCCAACATCGAGCTTGGGGACGGAGACACGAGGAATCCAAAGGCCGTCGTGGTTTCTTTTCTTTCTTTTCTTTCTTTCTTTTTGATAAAGTTGTGGTCATAGTTGACTGATTGGGGACATGGATAAGAGAACATGTTGGAGGGACAGACAAAATAAAGAAAATAAAAGAAAAAAATAAGGGTATAATAGACATTGTACCCTTTTGACCTATCAGATGAAGTTAGTTTTGTCAAACCATTCACAAAACCTGCTTTAACTCCCCGAGCCGCTACACAGGTGAAGTGACAACCGAAATTTTGACCGGAGCCGGAGGCCTACCAAACGGCCCGAAGCGTGCTTGCCAAATCAAGAACGTTTGTTCTAGCGCGTATAGCCTGCGTGTTCGCACTATATATAAGCCACTGCATGCACAACTGAAACGGACACAAACACGCCCGAATACATCTTCTCCCGGTACCGGAAGCTTCTGCTAGATTAACTTGTCGTCGCGGCGATGGGTAGCTTGCCACTGAACGCGCCAATGAAGCCACTGGACCCCCATGCCATCGCCGGCGACTCGCAGGCCATTCTAGAATTCCTCGCCGAGTACTACCGCGAACGTGGACAAGTACCCGGTGAGGGCGGCGGACCTGGAGCCAGGCCGGGTCCGCAAGCTGCTCCCCGAGGCCGCGCCAGAGCACGGCGAGCAGATGGAGCACATACTGGAGGACGTGAGGCGGGACATCCTGCCGGGGCTCACCCACTGGCAGAGCCCCCGCTTCTTCGCCTTCTTCCCGATGAACGCCAGCTCCGCTGGGCTGGCCGGGGAGATGCTGTCGGTGGGCCTCAACGTCGTGCCCTTCGTGTGGGCCGCGTCGCCGGCCGCCGCGGAGCTCGAGAGCGTCGTCGTGGACTGGATGGCGCGGCTGTTCGGCCTCCCGCGCCGGTTCCTCTTCTACAGCGGCGGCGGGGGCGTGCTGCAGGGGAGCACGTGCGAGGCCGTGGTGTGCACGCTCGCCGCCGCGCGGGACCGCGCGCTGGGTAGGCTCGGCGGGCACGAGGCCATCGCCAGGCTGGTGGTCTACGCCTCCGACCAGACGCACGCCACGTTCCAGAAGGGCGCCCGGCTCGTCGGGATCCCGCCCTCCAACTTCCGCGTCATCAGGACGTCGGCGGCTTCCGGGTACGGTCTCACCGCGGAAGCCGTCCGCGCGGCCGTCGACCACGACGTCGGCCTCGGGCTGGTGCCGCTGTACCTCTGTGCCACGGTGGGCACGACGGGGCTCGGCGCCGTCGACCACGTTCGCGAGCTCGGGGAGGAGGCGCGCCGCCACGGCATGTGGGTGCACCTCGACGCAGCGTACGCCGGCAGCGCCGCCATCTGCCCGGACTTCCAGGACTACCTCGATGGCGCGGAGCTCGCCGACTCGGTGAGCATGAACCCACACAAGTGGTTCCTTACCAACATGGACTGCTGCTGCCTGTGGGTGGCAAGACCCCGTGACCTAACCTCCGCGCTGTCCACCGACCCGGAGTACCTCAAGAATGTCGGCGCGGACGACGACGGCGCAGGAAAGGCGCCGGCCGCCATAGACTACAAGGACTGGCAGATCTCCATGACGCGCCGGTTCCGTGCCATCAAGCTCTGGGTCATACTGCGGCGGTACGGTGCGGCTGGCATGCGCGCGCACATCCGCCGGCACGTCGCAGCAGCCAAGTGGTTCGAGCAGAGGGTGGCGGCCGACGAGCGCTTCGAGGTGGTGGTCCCGAGGAGGTTCTCCCTGGTATGCTTCCGCCTCGCACCGCGGTCCGGCCGGGACGACGACGCCACGAACCACGTGAACCGGGATCTCCTCGCGGCGGTGAACGCGAGCGGGCGGGCGTTCATGACGCACTTCGTGGTGGACGGCAAGTTCGTGATCCGGCTAGCTGTCGGCGGTGCCTCGACGGAGCTGCAGCACGTCATGGAGGTGTGGGACCTGCTGCAGGGCAAGGCTGCTGAGGTTCTACAGCACTACGTGAAGCCTAACGGGCTCTAGCTCTGTCCATCGTAGCGAGAGCACGGAGCTTTGCATAAGCATGCTCACTTGCACGATATTCTTCTAATGTTTGTTTCCAACTCGTACTATCTCGGGTAGGCTATGCATTTTCTTCTGTCAAAGTTTCGACGGTTATTTTGTTTAATCAAAGTGTGATGTGTTTAATAAATTTCGACGATTATTGTGTGCCAAAGTGGAATGCTTTTAATCAATGTTTATATAAGTGAAAAATATGAAACTAAAGTACCGATCTTGACTGAGTACTCCTCTTTCTAATTTTGATCAGTCTTGTAGTTGGACTTGTTTCCATTGGGTCAATGGTGGTACCGAAGATTGTTTGAATCAGTCCAGAGAGGGAGGAAGTGGATTATGGAATTAGGGGGCTTAAACCCATAATGTCACATAAGGGGACATATTACAAATGGTAATAAGTAATACACATGTAGTATATTGCATATTTCAGCTAGCACCATATGATATTGCTCTTGCAGTGCATCCAAACAAGTAGATAGGTTGTATTTAAATTTTTATATGTGATATCTATTATTTGCTTGTTTTGGTCGTGTTGTCATCAATTATATCACAAAAATATGGGAGATTGTATGAAAAATGGGTCTGTGATCCATTAAGTTAGATTTTGGTGTTTGGTAAACAACATGACCATTTGGATTAACAACATTTTCTAGTATAAAAGGTTAAGTTCAAATAGATGCAAGGTTGGTTTGGACTTACGCAACATGAAAATTGAAGTGATCAACACCTCAAGCAAAGACATTATAAGCCATGTTGAAGACCTGCAAAACATGCTAGAAGTCTAAGACACCAGAAGTAGAAGCCCGAATGCGGAGACACAAACGAAATTGAAGCCCGATCGAGATAAAGAGATGAATGAATTGGTCTTCCCTCATGATTTTTGGATTTGCTCAAATTGATATGATATCAGTTCAAAGCTATAGAGATCTTCAATAGCTTTCCAAAATATCATAGATCATCAAAATAAAAGTTTGGAGCTAAGAGTTATGATCGTGTTACCGAAGTAGTGGGCTGAGGCTGAAAAAGTAGGCTTAGCCAACCTTCAAGATTGGGATAGCTGACTCTCCTTGGAAAATTGTCAGTTGGGGCGATTATCACCGCCGGTTCGTAACATGATGGTCGACCCATTTTCACCGCTGGTTTGTGTTACGAAACCCTTTTATAAAGAACCGAAGCCCTAGCAAACTGGTCCTAACTATCAAATAAGATAGTGCCATTGTAACTACTCCTGTCTAGGCCTAAATGCCTAAATGTTGCGACGGCAACTATATATACGCTCTATGATATGGTACATAAGCCTTTGAATATATTGGTTGTCTCATGGCAGCAACATTATGGTTTGGTATACAAATCTTAATAATATATGAATATATCTTGGTGGTCGTAAACGGGCTTGGACAAGGGTGAGCTTGACCCTCTTGGGGAACCATCAAGCAAGCGAGATCTCGAGACTTATGTTCTTGGTCCTGATCAAACCCAACCAAATCCGACACCCGCCCACAGTGGCTTTGCCATGCTCACCGCACCGGCTCTTATGTTCTTCGTCAAATCATATCCGACGGCATATCCGACGCCCACGGTGATTTTCACCATGTCCACCACACCACAACAGCAAACAGGTTACCAGACCGGTCAACCAATCCAAACTTTCTGCAAACAGGTTACCAGACCGGCCAATGCAATCCAAACTTGCTAATACCTTCTTGTACCATGATTATATCCCACGGACTGCTAGTTTTCCCAGAAATCATAGTAGGATTTAATAGTTCATGTTTCCCTCTTCGATAATTATAAATACATTAGATTATAATAACACCATTTTATCCTCTCATGAACCAACCTTTACCTTCAATAAGCAGAAAACTATGAGACCACATAATAAGCAAGCAGATAACAGTGATGGACCTGGTGGATATCAATACCAACTAATATCATGTAGCCCGAGAGGAAAAGGGAAAACGAAGTTGACATATAGCAAGTGTTTCTGATGGAATCGAGAAACTTCATGCCACAGATAATCCAACCTTATTCTACAGCACGCACTCATACATTACAATATATAAACAAAGCGTGCAAATGAGACAAGAGGCACTACACTGGCAGGAAAGAGTAATACTTTTATGTAAAACCACCCATGCATTCCAGATACATCATCATACACACACCACCATACCACAGGCAGAGCGCCAATCACCGCCTGGATACCTCCGGGCGGATACCAGGATTCATTCCTGGCTGCACAGCAAAAATAACTTATGAAGGAATTTGTCACGATAAGCTCAATCAGATTTCGGAACTTCAGCTGCCTTCCAAGCTTTTAGGCAGCAAGTACTATTATCACTATGAGCAGGACCACTCCGAAAATAACCAGCAACAAGCATATCTACAGAAAGAAAATTGGTCACTAAATCTGAACAGCAATGACAGAGGATGGTGTTCCTAAAAATGGATCTAGGATACTAACGAAGTGTAAAAGAGCTCGTGAAATTACCAGCGAAGAGTTTGACTTCTGAGTTTTAGCAGCTTTTGAAAGCTGGCCTTTAGCCTGTGATGTCGCTACAACGGCATTCTCTATATGGGAGTCAATGTCATCTGGTTCACAAAAGGAGAAACACAATTAGATGGGGAAGCGGGCAGGCCTATGCTTGAACGTACCGAAATGTAGATCCAATTAGCCAGAAAGGTCACATACCTATCATTGCTCCTTGATCATGGACTAGCACAGCAAGATCTTTGAAGATTTCGTTTACTTCAGTGATTTGGTGCTGAATCTCTTGTATTCCCTGATCCCTCTCCTCAATGATGGCCTCATTGAACACAATTTCATTATCCAAGAAGACCAACTCCTGCCTATGGTAAATCAAAAGTTTGAAATTAGCATCTTGAGATATTCAGAAAATTGACCTGTATAACAGTATAAGTAGGAAAAAGGTCTCATTCTTGACATGCAAACAAAGGGCGATATGTATTGTCCAAGCAACGTTAAAAATCAAGGAATGCATATGGGTCTCCAAATTAAAACCTGAATACATAGCTAACAAATCTATATAGAACAAGTAGTTCCACATAACACAATAGACAGAATCAACTTACCTTCTAGATTCTAGAAGCTGCGTGCGCTGCTCTGCCAACTTATCAGCGCCATTATTCACTTCACTTGAGTTGTAGCTGCAAAGAATGTGAACTCCAAGGTAAGGCACTTAGGCATACTGTGGCAATACACTGAACAGTTTTAGTAACATTACTATTAACAGATTTAAAACGAGGGAAGTGAGAAGAAAAGAAGCATTCTCAAAAATCATTAAATTATTAATGAATTACAGAAGGGAAACAATTATAAAATGTGGTATAGAAGCATGAAGGCAAAAAATGTCTGAAGATCATGCTTTACTGTTTCTATTGAAGAGCAAACATCACTAAAATAGACTAAGCTAGAGGAAATATTTTATCATGTGAAATCAAGACTATCACACTTTCCCTCTCTTCTTGCAACACAAGTGTTCAAAATAGAAGTATAGAACACCAGTCTGACAACTGGGCCAGGGGCTAGCAAGCCACAGCAGCAGTCATGAACTAAATGCTAGTGCTTGGTTCAACGGCTTAATTTTTTCTGGCACCCACATCACTAAAAAGGACAAATAATACACAAGCTAGAGGAAAAATATTTTATCATGTGAAATCAAGACTATCACATTTTAGCATCTCTTAGCTTTGAATACATAACTGTTCAAAATAATGCAGCAGAAATAGAATGTCGTAGTGTCTGACAACTGGATGCAAACAAACATAAAATGTAATAAGATACTGATGGTTGGAAAAAATCAGAAGGTCCTGAAAGGGTGCAGTTTGGTTTATTATGATTTCACACAGAAAACTGCTAGTGCTTGGTTTGAATCGTTATTGCACTTAATTTTTCTTTGGTAAAATGTGGTAGTATTAACCAAAATAAATTTTCAGACATTTATTTTAGCAAGACGACAAATAATACAAAAACATGGAACATATCGATGCAAAAAAGTGATTCAGTTTGAGGGCTCATCTCAGAACATAACACATTTCTGATATTTGTGAGCATCATGGCAGGAAGATTAGATTAGCTTTGAATAGTTGATAACTTCATGCTGCAAATTATAATGCAGCAGAAATATATGAAGATGTTAGCCAGTAAAATCAAAGCGAGTGTGGATGAAGTGGCGCCAAGCATCCGGTATGCAAAAGGATTGATGAAATCAAACAAACATAAAATGTAATAAGATACTGATGTTGGAAAAAACAGAAGGTCCTGAAAGGTCGCGTCAAGTTTGGTTTATTACAAGTTTTTATTTCACACATAGAGTGCAGCTTGAACTCAATTCCTGAGATGTATCTTTGTGATGTTGAGTGGAATCCTAAGCCATCTTATTGCACTTGGCAACTGGCTGGCAAAATCTTTTATGAGTTTATTCATTGCACTTGTATTAATAATAAATTTTCAGACATTGTACCATTACAGGACTGTTATGGTCGGGAACGTCTACCAGCACTGCAACAATTGCAGCCATGGCTTACGGCGCAGGCATGGAAGAACACAGCATGCCAAGTCATCCACATTGTTTGAACTTCAAATAAGTTCAGTTTGTTAATTTGGTTTGTTGTCTTTTGTGTTGGATTTTTGGTTAGATAAGTTCTTAGGATTTGTCTATAAAGCCAGAACATTGATCATCCAGATTAAGCAGGAGATTGAGTTATCTCTCTGATTCTTGCTTCTCCACTCTTGCTCTCGCTCTCTGCCGCACACAGCACGGCTCCTTGACACCAGGGATTCAAGCCCTGGCCACCAGTCACACACTGCTACAACCTACGCAATGCTCCATGTCCTATCAAGGACTACCAAGAAGGCAAGAAATGAATAGCGCCAAAAAAATATATACGAATTTACTTTTGTTTGGAAGAAAAATCCTTGTAGAAATGCAAAAAAAAACATATGGAAGAAAAATATCTGCCAGCAAATTACCTCTGTGGCAGGCCAGCTTGAGAAATAAAAGGTGCATATGCAGCTTCTCTCTCTACTGCTAATCGCTGAGCTTTCTGGAATTCTTTTAGGACTGCTTGGAAATCTTTAGCTAGCTTTGCATCAGCAATCTTCTTGGTAGCCTGCAAGTCAATATGAGATCATGACCACAATTGTAAAAAGAAAAGACCAACTGTCATCCACATGGAAAAACAAAATTCCCCAGATAATAGAGGAATAGGCATGGGCAAAAAAATATATGCAGCTGAGACGAGATTTGTCTTAAATGCATTGTGATAATTTCAAATCCTGCTACAATTTTTTTTTTGTCACAGGGAATGCCACCATGCCAGAAGAGAAGTATGCTGTAACAATGAAAGAATTTCTACAGTTACCTACTTACATCAAAAGTTCCTATTACTTTATGCAAAACTAAAATATGTACAAAACAAAACACAGCGCATTAGGTTTGATCCTCCAATCAGAATGCATGAGTTGTGTCCGTTCAATAACTCCCGTCTTCTATAATTAGAACAGAGGATAAATATCTATGCTGCAGGTTCTGGTTCAAGGCACAGCAGCAAATGTATTGCAAAATAAGATACTCCATCCATCCCAAATTATAAGTCATTCCAACTTTCTTGGAGAGTCAAAGCATCTCAAGTTTGACCAAATTTATATAATAAAATAATACTCCCTCCGTTCCAAATTATAAGTCGCTTTGACTTTTTTGGTACATCTATTTTGCATGCATCTAGATAAATAATGTCTAGATACATAACAAAATGGATGAACCAAAAAATCAAAGCAACTTATAATTTGGAACAGAGGGAGTAACATTTATGATACTAAATAAGTATCATTAGATTCTTCATTAATTATATTTTCATAGTATACTTAACTTGACGTTTATGATACTAAATAAGTATCATTAGATTCTTCATTAATTATATTTTTATAGTATACCTACTTGACGTCATAAATCTTTGTAGTTCTTTCTATAATTTTGGTCAAACTTGAGATGCTTTGACTCTCCAAAGAAGTTGGAATGACTTGTAATTTGGAATGGAGGAAGTAACTCGATTAATCCCAAACCAGAACCAACACCAATGCTAAATTATGAAACAACAAAAGTAAGGGTGTGAATGGAGCATGGTTCCAAATTTCATCATATCTTGGTGTAGTAGGAGGAAAAAGGAATGAGGTCAACAAAGCCAATGCTAAATTAGGAGGGCTGAAACAAAAGAATAGATGTTTTTTTAGGGTGTTTTAACCTTAGCCCTCCTTCCTAAATATATCATAAAATTTTATGGCTTAAGGGGTCCAGTGCGAGGATGGGTAAAGCCCCCCAGCCCCACCGGAATGAGGTAATGCTTTGTACCATCAAAGAAAACAAAAAAATTATACTTAAAATGAATAAAATGGCACAGGGAAATTTCGTTAAGAATACTCATAGATTTATATCGAGAATTCGAGATAGGCACATACGCTGACTTCAACGCGATGATCCGCCTCGCTAGCTTGTTTAAGCTTGTCTGATGTATCCTTCACTAGTTGTGTTATGTGTTGCCGTGTTTTATGTCTGCAATCAAAAGCAAGTGATAGTTAGTAGACACATCAAGATGATTGGAACTTGCTAGCCTATAGTTGGGCATCATTAGAGTTACTATTAATTCATTTAATTTCAAAATATAACACAAAATGAGCAAGGACAGCATAAGAATTGATTCAGATGACCAAATGAATCCATGTAGGTCATATGGCTTGATTCACTCAATTCAATGGCCGATGACTATCAGCTAAAGTAAGCATCATCAGTCAGGAGCGATAACGTATGGAATTAGCAAATTGGGTTACAGAAGCAATCCCTAAAACATGAGGGAAAATTAAGCCCCAAGCAACCATTGGCAACAGTAATCGATGTATCAACCACTTGCAACAGGAATCGATGCATCCACAGCAGCGACCCAAACCTAAGCCGTAATTCTTTTACAGGCGGATCAAAACCAGAGTGGACCGAGTCCGCGAAATCAAAACAGATGGGGGCAAAAGCAAGGCAATCAAAACAGATTGGGGGATAAGGTACCTCAGGTAGGCGGGGCGGCGGACGCACATCCTGTCGCGGAGGTCCGGGGTGTCCTTGGGCGTGCCGAGCGTGTTGACGAGGCGCTGGAACGTGGCGACCGCGGTGTTGATCTGGAAGACGCCCGACGCCACGGCCTGCGACGCGCCGGCGCCGGCTACGCCCAACCTTTTAAATGCCCCATAATTTGGTTAATTTCCGGCTAAGCCGCCGAGCGGCGCCCGCGGACGTGGCCCGCCTCCAGGTCCTGAAATTCATCCTCTCCTTCTCCTTCCCCTGCCTCTCTGCCTGGCTGGTTCACCACCGGCCCAGTCGAATCGTCGCCGCCCCAGCAGCGATGAAACCTAGGCCCCTCCTCCGAGCAGGAGATGGGATCCAGAATCACCGAGTCCGCTCGCTCGCTCAGCCGGCCGCGAGAGCAAGGCAATCAAACAGATTGGGATTTGGGGCAGTTTGGCGGGGGGGGACGCGCGTCCTGTCGCCCTTCGGCCTTCTCTGGGCGTGCCGAGTCCTGTGTTTCGCTGGAACGTGTGGACGTCGGTGTTGATTGGGGATTCCGGAATTCGCTCACGGCGAGCAATCAGCCTTGTCGCTCGCCGCGGGTTCGCGGCGCAGGCTGTTCGGTCATATAAATTATAAATTAGTCATCGATATTTCTTCACGAATAATTAAAATAATATTTTTCTCCTGGAAATTCATCAACTCCTTCTTTTTTATCCCCTGCCTCTCTGCCTGGTTGGTTAATTTGCCCGGTCGAATCGTCGCCGCCCCCGCCGCTTTTATTCGAGGCAAATAGTCCGAGCAGGAGATGGGATTCGAATCAGGGGTCTCTTGCTCGCTCGTTCGGCCGGCCGCGAGGGGTGAATTGGGATTTGGGGAGTTTATCTTTTCGACCATATTTAATCGCCCTTCGGGCCTTCTCTCTTCTTGTAATGTGTTTCTATAACAACTTTTTAGAAATTAAAGATTCCGGAATTAAATCGCGGCGAGCAATAAAGATACGAATCGGTCAACCAAACGGTCTGGTCTACCGGTCGAGGCCAACAAGCCAAGCCACAATCCAGCGTTGCCTTGCCCGCCAGGTCGGGCTCGGGCTCCTCCGCTGGATCGCGTACACCTTGGCTGCTGGCTGGAATTGGCCCTCGTGGCCTCGTGGGTCACGTGCGCCGGCGGCTGTGGCAGGCAGGACAGTTGTGGGTCGCCTCTGGATTGACGGCCAGTTAAAGTGTCTAACAAGAAATTTACATGAACATCTAAATTCAAAATAAATAATAAGAGATTTAAAATTAGTCTCTAATAAAGTATATATACGAGAGATTTATTTTGGGTTGTATGAGAGGCATAACCCAAATATGAGCATCCTCCCTCCTGAAAACTTATTTGTAGAAAAGATTCTCTTTTAGATCTTATTTTAAAGAAAATACCGAATATGTATTGAATCATTTATCTGTAGCGCTACTCAAAAGACGAATAGATCTTATATTTTGGGTGTTGTTGTTGGAGATAGCCTTAATTAGGCTACGGTATTAGGACTAATCTACAACTACTCAGAAACGGATTTGTAACCTGCTACTCCTGCTCCGTGGTCCATGGTATATTTATTTATATTATATAAGATAGTTTGGATGTGCGGCCGACTTGCGAATGCTACCAAGGGGGGAGGGGGTTTGGTGGGGCTGGGAACGACACTTGACAGAGTAATTAACAATCCAACGGCCACCGGTTAAGAGAGGGAGGGAGGGAAGGAAGGTTGGGCAAATGGCAGCGTCGCCGTAGGGGCGAAGGAAGAAAGGCGGGGGCGTCGAGGTGAGATTGACAAGGACCGGCAATCTCACCAAGAATCATTCTCCTGGTCCGATCCGTCGTGTGGTCTGAATGGCACGCAAATTGCATTGACGGCTGTTGTTAACACATTATTCTAATTTATATATCGTTTTGGCTTTTTTATATATATAGCTTTTACTATACAACTAGATATATTAAAAATTCTGTATCTAAAAAAGCTAAAGCAACCTAAGTTTAAATCGAAATGGATAGAGTAGTAGTATAGAATATGCAATATGGTATCCACGAGCCTTTATAATCCTCTCATCATATTAAGATAACGATGGCCCCGTTCGGCTTGGCTGAAACTTGACTGAAAAACACTGTTCTGGCTGAATTGTTGTGAGAGAAAAACATTGTTCCGACTAAAAAACAAGCCGAACAAGCCGTTTCTAACTAAGCCGAACGGAGCCGATATATACAAAGTATATATTTTAGTATAGCTTGAATACAATTTAAAAGCCAACAATTAAAATCACCTCGCACTGAGAAGTTCATTAATCATCATTGTACATCATGATTTGGACTTTGTTTAGATCTTCTTCTAGGTTCGTGCCCGTGCGTTACTACGGGATAATTAATATTTTATACTATTAAAAGCACATGGATCGCACGATAAGATAACAATACTGGAAAATTAAATACCAACGTTAAAGTGATATTTAATCTAAAAAGCAAAATTTATGAAATTAACACAATCACGTAGAGCGCGGCATCACAGGCTCACAAACCCTTCAACGATTCTCTTATGAATATTTTAGTTGTAGATCGCATGTCTGTCGATGATTCTCATACACACCTGGCTTGCGGCTTATTACAAAAACATATAAAGTCTGTTTCATAATCTTTATCACCTGTAGATCTAGTTTGTATAAACCTAATAAAATTAGTTTGTATAACCTAACAAAATTTATTATTATGCATTTTATACTTTTAAGTTGATTTGATCATTTTTAGAAATAATAAAAAGCTAATAAACATTTTTATTTGGGTACCCTAAACTTTTCCAAATTGATTCAAACATTCTTTTTCTTTAGTTATGAACCATATTCTCTTTGTATTTAGTCCCCACATCCTTTTTTTACCTACAGTTTTTAGACTACAGTGATTGAAAATTCTGAAGAAGCACCATGTTTTATAAAAGCACTATAAAAGCACTATGTTTGTTTTGAAATGGATAAGAGTGTGTCAAGATCATCACCACCGGTTCTTGAGTGACCTCTTGCTCACCCCGATTGTACTCCAGTGCTCCATCAAAAAGATCACCATCGTCTTTAAATTAAATAAAGCTTCCGTAGCTTTCAAATACCTTCTCTCTCTCTCTCTCTCTCTCTCTCTCTCTCTCTCTTTCTCTCTCTACCTTATCACCAACGCACACAGAATCGCACACGCGTATCGGCCTCGCACCTACCGTTCTCGCACATGGCGTGGAAGCGCCGTTGTCGCGGACACAGGCCATTGCTGTACCTCCACGCCGCCCTTGCCTGCCCTCCCAGCGCCTCACGCATGTCCTGGCGGCGGGCAGCCAAGGCAGCGCGCGACCCCCGGGTTGCTCCTCCATGATCACCGGCCGCCATGCGCCCGCTCGCGACTTCGACGACTCCTTATCCACGACCGGCACCAGAGAGATCTCATCTGTATGTATCCGTCTTCCCAAGAATGACACCTCTACGTCCCGCGCCTACCCGCAACCCCGCCAAACGCAGCGGGAGGCGCAGCTTGGACATAGCGGGCTCGTCGAGCCATCGGGCTCGCCACCACCACGGGGGAGCGCAAGGTCGAAGTTCAACAAGCAAAGAACGGATACGGAGAGCGTTCTGAGCCATGGCCGAAGCTAGCTTTCGAGCAGGTGCTGACCGGTCATCGCACCACCGCAAGGAACGCCGCCGCCGCCTGTAACACCTCGGGTGTTTTAAATACTAAAACCTGCCATGTCATCATACGCATTGTACAACATTTCGTATTAGTGAAAATTTTGATATGCATTCACTAAAACAAGTTTACCTTTATGTTATATGTGTTTGCCTTGTATGGTTTGATTCAAGTTCAAAGTTTTGTTGGATTTAAATTTTCGAAAAACCCTGAATTCAGCATTTAAGTTTGCCCTGGAAAACCCGTTTCAAAATCTAAGCACATTTTGGGGTTGAGCCTTAAAGCAAAAGTGTAGAGCTTGTTGAGTTGTACAAAGTTTGTTTTTTGAGTTTTCAAAGTTGTTTTATAAAATTTGGAGTAATTTGAAAAGGCGAAATTCCTTAAATGACCCATTTTTGAATTCAAATTTACATTTCAAAATGTAGGCCGAATTAGGGGGTGGTTATAAAAAGCAAAGTTGTAGAACTTTGAATTTTGAGCAACTTTTGTTTTTGGAGATTTTTGAGTTGTTACATAAATTTGGGAGTAATTGGGGATTTAAAACGAAGGGCAATTTTGTAAATAGATGAACAGTGCCCGTGGAAGACACCTCATCGCCGCGAGAGTTTGAATGCATTACTGCGTCGCCGCCGGCCGCCCTTGGCTTCATATTGGCGCGAGGAAGACGCCGTCATGGCTTCCTCTTGCTTCCTCGCCGCGTCCTTTAAAGGCCAGAGACGCCGCCGCCGTTTCTTTTCTCCTCCTCTGTTTTCCCGCCGTCGCCAGTAGCTCCGCCGAGCTTTCATCGATTTTTAGCGATCAGCACTGTCTCTCAGCAAAGCGCTTCATAGCTCCGCCTAGTCCGTGCGCACCCAGCCAGCTAGCTCTGGTCACCTGACTTCGCCAGGAACTCGTTGTGCGTCACTTTCTTCCCCGCGGCCGGTAGTACCGCCGTCGAGTCCGCATCACCGTGGCCAGCGTTCCTCGGTGCGTTTCTGCCCTTGATGAGCATGCCTTCAGCTTCGCCACGATGTCGTGGTGCTTTGTGCCCGATTAGTTGATCGTTTTGTCCATCGCAGCCGCCGAAGCATCGTCGTCGTCAAAGATTGCTCCGCCGTGATCGCTGCGATCATCGACCCGCCTATCCGTTGTTCCTCCGGCTCGTCCATCGTCTTCAACGTGTTCGGGGTGAGCTTCTGATTCTTCCTGAGCTGTTTGTTTAACCGCTACCGCACTTGTTTCATCGGTGTGGTGCCGCCGAGCCGCCGTGTCCGCCATGGCCGGCGTCGAGCTCGATCCTCACTGTAATTGCTTAAGCTAGTGCCGTCAATCGATGCGGGGTGGTGTGGGGAGTGTTTTGGTACCTTGGCCGTCGCTGTTGGTCTCACCATTGGCAAGTTTTCGTCGGTCAGCGCCGTCGTTGCCGTGGTCAGCGCCGAAGGTTGAAGATGACATGTGGGGTCGGATGTCAGTGACTCAGCGGTTTGAAAATGAATTTTTCTTTTTTCAGAAATGGATGAATAGTGATATTTTTTGTTATTTTTGTGTAGATTTATTTAGAGCTCCAAAAATTATGAAAATTTTTTGTGAACTCTCTGTGATGAGTACTATTTAGTAAAAATACGAAATGTTATTTTTCAGTACTTTTTGGATGTGATAAAAAATTACTCAATTAATTAATAAATGAGTTTCCATGATTTTTCTAGGCTTATTTCTTTATCCAAAAATTATGAAAATTGTTTTGCCACTTAGTTATCATGTGATGAACTTTAAAAAAATGGGCTTAATTGGAACAAGTTGATTTATTTCATAATTTTTAATTAAATAATTAATTCATAAAATCAAATAGTAACCTTTATTGATTTATGTTTTGATTGAATTTTTGATTGAGTGATGTCCTTGGGTCATTAGTTGGTAATGATCCTTGGCAAGTGAAGTCCGTATTATGAAAAATGTTTAGTTAGTTTGACTTGTAACTGTACCGCGAAGGAAAGTTGTATTCAAGTTGTTAACTTTTGCATCCATCATCGAGCATCATGTTTTATATCTCAAATCATGTTAAATATGGCATTGTTACAACGTGTAGTGAACGAAGGTGAACACGTGGTAGTTAATCAAGTTGTGGAAGAGGTTGATCCGCCTGTTGAGGTCGGATTTGATAATTATGGAACGACTCCGGAACCGAACTTTTCCGTCAATGAAGGCAAGCCCCGGATGTATTTAAACCTACCTTGTGTTTTACAAATTGATTTTGCTTTTGCTTTTCTATACTGCATTAAGTGATTAGAAGTTAAGTGAAAACCTAATTGGTGCATTACCAACCTTGTTTTTCCATATCTACCTTTTTACAGTTTTAAATTCGAGAATGTCAATTTATGCTTAGCCATGCTTAGAACGATAAAAGTCGGGTGATTACCTATCGCCTGCGAGATAAAACTAGATTTTTGGCTACGCTTGGTTACTTATGTGATCATAAGATATGAGCATATGGAGTAATAAATATAGATCGGGCGGACTCGGTGTGTGTGAGCCGCAAGACATGGAGGTCTTGTGAGCGGGTTCTTTCCGCTTTGTGTCGCTTAAGGTCTGTCCGTTGTTGAATTGCGTGAGCTGAGACTTTGTAGTACTAACCACATACTCCGGTAAGCCTTAGCTTAGCTATTCTATTACAAGAATGGCTACTCGTGCATTGGGAGTGGAGAGATGGCGAAAATAATGTGTGTACCCACGTGGCAATAGGCTGGATTGGTGGAATACTGTATTCTCGGGTGGCGCGGACCCGTTCTTGTTTTAGAGGATTCGATGGTAGGTTGGTATATGTAAGTCGGGGACCTACATATGTCGTGTGGTCTAGAATCCCTAGCTGGGTTTAATCGGTTCGAATCGTCGTTACTCCTCGGTTATGGAGACTCAACTCTCTGTTCATCATCGTAGTTTAATAACTGAAACTTGAGCTGGTTTGAGAAAGAGTTTGATATGAAGTTCATGATCTCATTACGGATCATGGCAGATTCATATATGGTACTTGTGAAATTTTAAATGTTGATATAAAGAATTTTGTTAAAGAGCTTTTACGCAAAAGAACTTTGATTATTGCTAAAGCCATACCTTGAATCCCTGAGCCTGTATTCCTGAGTTCTATCAATTCGTATTTCGGTTAAGTCTTGTTGAGTACTTTTGTACTCAGGGTTCATTGACCCTTGTTGCAGGTGAGTCTCATGAGTAGGTCTGTTTTGGATCGCGCTGCATGACTGTGGTTCAATGTGATGACGATAAGTAAATGCGTGGCCCGTGGGCATGGCACTTTATTTGTGTGTTCGTATTATGTTATAATGCCACTCCACTACTACGGTTTGTAATAATTATCGAACTTAGTTTGTAAGGTTTCAAACTACTGTTTTGTAAACTAAGTTATTATAAGACTTCCGCTATCTTTTACTCTGATGTATCTATTTGAATAAACTGTTATAATACTACAATGACTCTGTAATGTGATCCTGCTCGGAAATCGTAGATGAATCGGGGTTCCCCGAGGACACCCGACAGTCTTCTTAAGTTACCAGGAACATATGCATAGTTGTCAAAGGTCGTTGAACAGTGACAAATGCATGTGGGTCCAATAATTTAGGAGGTTCTGCCACACCGCCGCCGCCCTTCTTCCCTTTCTAGCCGACCTTCTCCGCCTCAGCTATGCCGTCTTCGACCGAGCGCCGACCGGATCCACCATGGCTGCACCGCACCAACACGCCGCACGCCGCTCCGAGTTCGCCTTCCCTCCCTCCGTGTCCGACACGAGATCACAGTAAGTCACGCGCTGCACAGCCATACGCACATCGCCAAGGCGTCGTGCGCTCAAGTTCGGCTCGGCTTTTTCCTCCTCCATGTCCGACGCAGCGCCGCCCGCACCCACACGCCGCGCGCCGCTTCAAGTTCAGTTTGTGCTTCCCTCCCTCCGCGCCCGACGCAGCGCCGCCAAATTCCCTCCGCACAGCCGCATTTTCCATGGCAGCAAGTTTGAATGAAAATCGGAATTGAAAACGAAATCAGCTCGGATCGCTACCGAAGTCCCGCGCTGGTCGCATGCCTCGGCGGCCTTCCCTTCCATCTCGGCATCCACGTAGGCAGCGGCGAGGGCGCCGATGCCCGTGGGCGCAGCCCCCGCGAGGGACATGGAGCCGAGCACGGCGTCCGCGGTGTCTCTGAGCGCGGAGACGGCGGCGGCGAGGTGCGCATCGGGGAGCGGGGACCAGGTCGGGTCCGTCCGTGGAGCGGGCGGCGAGCACGCGCATGAGCAAGGCCGCGAGGGCGAGGTGGAAGACCAGGCTCGGTCTTTGTTTCGCACGAAGGGAAGCGAGGGCGAGCGGTCGTTTCGCACGCTATCAACGATTCTCTTATGAATATTTTAGTTGTAGAGATATAACTAGATATACGATATGTCTAGATATATATATATATTAAAAATTTTGTATCTAGAAAAGCCAAAGCAACGTAGTATAAATCGAAATGGATAAAGTAGTAGTATAGAATATGTAATACGGTATCCGTGAGCCTTTATAATCCTCTCATCATATTAAGATAACGATGTATACAAAGTATATATTTTAGTATAGCTTGAATACAATTTAAAAGCCAACAATTAAAATCACCTCGCGCTGAGAAGTTCATTAATCATCAACGTACAGCATGATTTGGACTTTGTTTAGATCTTCT